AATGCCACAATGATGCTTTATCTAGGCTAGTAGAAGAATCAATATACAACACATTATTTCCTAAGTTGTCTACAATCGACACAGTTTCATACACGCCATCACAAGGCATGAAAAGAAATAATATTCCTCGCCATTTCAGACGAGTACACACATTTATTCAAATCTAATTTTAACCCATTATTAAGCAACAAAGTATAAACTCCAATCTTGGAAACAGGTGAAGCCTTCCTATTCCCCATGATTAAGTTTATTTTCCCGTGCTCCACATCCTCACTTCTTCTTAGGCCCTGCAAATCAGAACATATGTGAATACCACATCCTGTATCAAGCACCCAAGAGTTAGAATATGTTGAGTAATTAGACAATATAGTGTAAATACCTGCATAGGTGGGTTTCACTTTCCCATCCTTTAGATCCTGCAAGTACTTAGGGCAGTTTCGCTTCCAGTGTGCCTTTTCATGGCAATAAAAGCATTCAGCATCCTTGGGAATGGCAGAAGGAGTGACAGAACCGTTCTTAGTCTTTGATGAGGAGCCTTCAAGAGACTTTCCCTTGGTACCCTTCGAAGGGTGCTTCCTCTTTTTCCCTTTGCCTTGCCCAATAGCTAAAACAGGGGTAGAAGTTGGAGTAGGAGTAGTAGAGGTAACAACCGCTTTACCCTTAAGACCGGTTTCAGCGGTCTTCAAGAGTCCTTGAAGCTTGCTGAGGGTAACTTCCTCCTTGTTCATATGATATGTCATTCGAAAATGATCATAACAAGAAGGCAAGGAGTGCAAAATGATGTCAATTGCCAACTCCTCGGGGATGTTAACATTCAGCTTCAGCAAACGGTCCACATACCTTTGCATCTTTTGCATGTGGCCCGTGACGGATTCACCGTCCTTCATGCGGGTAGTTATTATGGAGGAGATTATTTCATACCGCTCCTGACGAGCACTCTGATGGTACCTTTCCATCAGGTCTTGGTGCATCTCAAAAGGGTAGAAATCTTCATACGACTTTTGGAGCTCGGCTGTCATCGTGGCCATCATGATACATGCCACCTTAGTAGCATCTCTCTCATGAGTCCTGAATTCAGCGATCTCCTCAGGAGTAGCAGTAGACTCATCAAGTTCTTTTAACTCCTTATCGAGGACATATTCCTTGTCCTCGTAACGAGTAACCATCCTGATGTTCCTAATCCAATCCATGAAGTTGGAACCATCAAAGATGACCCTCCCACAAAGATTCATGAGAGAGAAAGAACCAGTTGGGTTAGAGCCTGAAGCATTAGTGTTGGAAGACATCTGAAAGAAGAAAGTAAGTTTAGATTAGATATTTAGGATCCTTAATAAGACACCCAAATGTAATATTAAGGCTAGGATCCAATCACAATATATTACACTTAGAAGAGGGATGCCGTAATCTAAGTAATAATATATTTGAAAGGTAGGTGAATGACGATTCACCAATTTCCACCATGAAAACGAAATGATTTATTAGGTTTAATTGGATTTGAAATTCCTAGATTCTTTTGAGATTCATTGAACTTTTCAATGGCATGTTTCAATCTCGATTGTGCCCTTCAAGTTTTGTGACTGGGATGCCGAGGATCACAAAACAAGGTGTGAATAACCATGCTAATTCACTTGGTACTCTTAATATTATCACCTAATCAATGTGCCGGTTAACCACACACGCTCCATTGATCTATGACAAACATTAAGTCACCCTTCGTGATCCTTACTAGTCCTAGTTAGTGTGCCGGTTAACCACACACGCTCCACCAACGACTTGGTAAGGTACAAAGTGTGAATTCCATGGATTAGCACCATGTTCACATTTTCCTAAAATAACTAAGATTGGGAATTAAAAGAGTTTAGTTATTTTATAATATTCATTATACTTTTAATGAGGATTTAAAGTCATTGTTCTACCCGTTCGGCTAACGACCCTCCACCGATCAAGCAAGCGGTGGGTGAGAGTATACACCCATTAAGTCGCCATTTTATAGGCAACAACCTTATACCCACCTTATAGACCGGCTTCGTGAATGAGGCCTACTAACGGTAAAACGACTTATTCTTATACATATATATAATAATTAACCATTAATGTTATAAATAGTATAAGGGTTGAATTTTAACTATTAAAACTCTAAGGTTTGGAATTAAAGTTTATTAAAGTGTGTGAAACTTTACAAATTCCAAAACTTGAGGGCAAGTTTTGTAACTTTGCAAAACTCTTCATTTCATAACTTATGAATTAAAGGTTCATAAAAATGAAGACTCTTCATTTTCATGTAACTTATGTGTTTTAAGTGTGTGTTAAATGAAAGTGACCTTTGGTAATCCATAACTTGAGGACAAATTATGGACTCCATTAAAACACATAAATGATAAAGAATTAATCCTAAACAATTCAGCAAATAATTCCTATCATTTTCTAAATTCATAAGAACATGAACATGATCATCAAAAATTCAAGAATTATATGAACACATAAAATCATGGAATTTTGATATATGCTATTGTAAATGGATTAGAACAACCATTACACCAACTAAAATAAGTTTTATAACACCAAAACAGTTTAGGGTAATGTTTCTAGTCCATTTCCAGCAGCAAAAGTCGAGAATCTGCACTCTTTCGATCCTACTCGTCGAGTGCATGAATTGACTCGTCGAGTAGGTTGAAGTTTGCCTTGGACTCGTCGAGTCCCCCCAATGGACTCGGCGAGTCCACCATGCAGACAGCAACGATTTCGACTTTTTTCACTATTTTGCATCAAGTATCAAACAAGCAAGCCTAGGCTCTGATACCACTGTTGGGTTTTGAGCAATCTAACACTTCCTAAGTGTGCATGCAACCCTAATAAACCTTGGATCTATGTTTGTCTAAATACATGCAAAATAATAATTTTCCAAGGTTTATAACCTATCTAACATGGCATGGGGAACATTTCAACATAAAAGAGTTAGAAGAGATTACATACCTTTTGGTGAGTTGGTTCTAGGAGTTTGAGGGCCAAGCACCAATAGTGTGAATGCCTCAAATGGAATCACAAACACCACAAACTCTTGGAAAACTTTGAGAGAGTATACACACCTTGTATTCGGCCACACACATGCACACACACACTAGTTCACTAGTTTTCTCTTAGGCTCCATTTCATGCTCCATAAGCATGCTTATATAGTATGCATGGTTAGGGTGAAACCCTAATAACCCATGTCTTTTCCTTTTCCAAGGATCCATGGGTTAAAAGCTCCATGGATCATCCATGGACTTCCACATAAGCCTAGCCCATTAACAAATGAGTATTAGCCCACACTATATAAAACAAATAGCCCATAATTTAATTAGTATTCCTTTTAATCTCTAAATTAATCCATAATTAATTTAAGACTAAAACTAATTAAATAACGTAACTTCATATTAATATATTATAACTCATAATATATTAATAAACATATGTGTATAACTCTCATAAAATTATCCATAATAGTTTGGATGAGATGCAACCCAAATGGACCATGCCGGTCGGGTCAAGTATATACCAAATAAGTTATGGACTTAGACACCTTATCCAACAAAAACATGGGTAGATAAAGAATGAGGGATGAAAGATGATATAAAGGAATATTGGCAGTTGCACCATAAAACTTAGGTGTTTTTGATTTCAGTGTTCACCACTTGTAATCTAAATATCTTGGCAGTTGCGCCTTATGGATAATTTTTGCAGCCGTGCCTAATAGATACAACATAATCCTGGCAAAGGCGCCTAAAGCATAATATCAACAGTTTTTCCTAATAGACGATATTGACAACTGTGACTAATAAAGAATAAATGATGTTGTTGGCAGCTGTGCCTAATAAACAACATTGGCAGCTGTTCCAACTAGAGAATAAATGATGTCGTTGGCAGCTACGCCTAATAAATAACATTGGCAGCTACACGCAAAGATGGACTTTGTGCTTATTTTTTAGGTTAATCCTTAGGAAATGAATGGACGAGGAATAGCTAATTTCTTAGGGTGGATCATTAAGAGTAAAGAAGATAATGGGGGTTGGAAATTGGGTTGATTGTTTGATGTTTAAACATAATAAATAAATTTATTGTGGTTGATGAAATTAATAAATTTATTATTTGTGATTGAAAACCCTATATGCTCACCAGGCTCCCAAGCCTGACCCACTCAGCTTTTTGTATTACAGGTAGTGGACTCAGAGCATAGTTGGATGATGATGAGGGATTTTTGGATTATAGGCCAGTAGTTGTAAATAACTGTTATAAGGCCTATAATATATTGTTTATGCTTTTAGTCTGTATCAGAACATGACATCCCGAGGTTTTGATATATAATGAAAATATATATATTTCTTTAAGAAATGTTTTGATAAAGTTTTATCATGTTTTGTTTTGGGGAAAAATTCCGCAACATCTTTTAAAAGATCACTCTGATTTTATTTTAAAAGCATAAACTAATCCGTCTTTTCTGGCCCAAAACTTTGGGGATGTCACAGATCTCCCTTGTTTGAACCCAAAGGATCATTATGTCTTTGCCTCATAATGCTTTTAATTTGTCTTTGCCTTTCCATTTCCAATTCCAAGTTCTTATTCTTCTCTTCTTCATAAAGAACTTTCTCAATGCCTTTCCCTTTATCTCCTTTATCATATTTCGAAGAAGGTGGTTCCGAACTTGACCCTGAGCCTCGAACTCTTTCACCAATGACAATTCCTTTCGTTATCAGTCTCGATGTTATGGTTATAGAAGTAGTTGTCAATGAAAATGTAGAAATTTTGAGTTGATATCACCTTCCCTACAAATTCACCCTTATCAACATCTTTCGAAGGACCAACACGTCCACATCCTTTTTTTCCCTCTTTCACCACATGCTTCACAGGTGGAGCATTAGTTGGCAATAAAAGGTCCAACTTAAGGATGGGATCAAGCTCTTCCTTGATGTTCGATTCGATGGAAGATATCATTTTGGAAATGGACTCCTATGAAACCGAAGATTATTGAGAAAGACCAACCTTCGAACGAGATTCTTTTAAACTTCCCAAAAATTCCTCCAACTTTTCGAAAACTTTGGAATCCTGTTCTGATTTTGCATCAAGCTTGGTTGAATACAAGTTTTTATATTCCACAAGCTTCTTTATTGCATCAACATTGACATCATCCATTCCATGAAGAAGGGAATAATTCTTCTCTATCTTATCGACTTCTTTCGACATTTCAGACTTCAGCTCTACAACCTGGAGATTGACAGAGTCTTCCAACTTCTTAACTTGCTCCAGAAAAATTTCATGACGTTCTTTAGCTATATCATGAAGTTTTGTAACCTCATTTTCAAAATTACAAGCATGATCCTTTAATCGATCACCATGTTGTTTCTCAATTTTCTCCATTGCTAGCTTAAGGCGATTCTCTTGAGACTTGAGCATAAACTCCACTTCGACCTTAGAGAAGAAGTTTTGTCCTCATGTATCAGCTTAGATTTTTAACAAAGAGTTGAGCTTGTTGTTAAGAATCTTGAACTGTTTTCCTGATATGAGCATATTATCCGGAATGTTGTCTTCTTCAAGATCGAATTGTAAATCAGAAAATGGAACCATAAATTCATCATCATCTAGTTCATTTTCATCATGAACTAATCTCTCTGGCTTAATGGATTGCGAAGAGAAAAGGGTTGTGATTGGTTCATGCATGATGTTGGAAAAAGTTTGTGAAACTGTAGAAGTAGGAAGTTTAGATGGTATTGGATAAGAAAATGATGGTAAAGAAGTAGAAGTGTCAATGAGTGGGGTCTCAATGGTAGAAGAGAGAATAAGTGTTGTAGGAAAAATAGAGGTTTCAATAGAAGAAGTACAACTGGCTACGTTGTGCATCATCCCTTCACCCATGATGACATTTGTGTCCATATCAGATATGTTCACAAGGATGCCTAAGGTTCGAACCTCCTCCGTAGTGGACTCAGTTAACGAAACCTCAGGTGGTGTGGCTGTTTCCTTCTTATGGATGGAAGTATGTGGAGGATCACTCAAATTGGTGGTTGTATCCGTATTAGATATGTGCACATTGCCACTAGGGTTTTCAGTCTTCTCGAAAATCGACTTAACTGGGGAATCCCTTTAAGGTGAACTAAAACCAATATCATCATAATGAATGGCTAACCTTTCGCTTTCACTTTCAGTAGTAGTCTCAACAACAACTTCGTCAAGTGGATCTACCATCTATTTCTTCTTCTTTTTGATCTCCTTGACCATTTCACTAGTTTGTCTATTCTTTGAAGCAGGGGACACTGAAGAAGGAACTTCTTGAATGAGCATACCTTTTCTGTTAAGTTGAGGTATGGGTATCTTCTTTATCCCCATCGTGAAGACATATTCTTAGAGCCTTCGTGATCTTGTGGCCTTTCAGGAGAATGGTGAGGTCGGTAAGCATGATTCTTGGTTCTTTTTAGAATGACTAAATTCGAAGGAACAACCTCCTTAGGAACTTCTTTCTCCATACTCTCTTGATCAGGCTTTGTAACCTCCTTCTTCACTTGCTCAGGAACAGATTTTGGTTGTTCAGTCTTCTTTGACTTCTTAGAATATTTAGTAGCCTTCAACGTGCCTTCATCCCCCTTTGACATAAGAACCCCAACTTTAACATTTGGGTTAACAGTTGCAAAATATTGAACAATAATAAGATTCGATGTATCAATTCGTCTTAACATAGCATCAGGAATGTGAGCCACATTCGGAAAAAGAACTGGAGCATCAGTAACCAGCTTTGGAGGCTGCAACATCGAAAACTCTACCTTTTTATCTTCTGATTAAACTGAAATCCCTTCTTTTTCATACCAATATTGCAGAATTAACCTCTAGTATCTTACACAAGAGACACCATTCATTACATTAGTGTGAGCAATTCCTTTACCAGACTCCTCCCATAGCTGAGTGACATAATCGACATTTAGGTCATAATAAAGACCCAAAATCATCGCCTAAGCCTCCAACTTTTCCTTATCAAGCCCTGAACTACGACCAATCAAGCATTGCAGAAAAATACAAAAAAGGAAATTCGACACATAGGGAAAATCTGACTTGTGAAACTGACTAATTCCTGTAAGAGGTGGTTGATGACCTATCTCATTAAACATATAAACAACTTGTTCATTCGTTATTTCATTGAATGGACCTGAATACGGATGCTTCATGATCTGATCAGACTGTCGCTTGGTTAGCTTGTGCAGTTTGTTGATCGTCAGTTGGAATGTTACAACCATCATTGTTGAGTTAAACACCGTCGTTGATACCGCAAGTGGTAACCAGGTCATAGGAATAGAGAATGAAGATGAAATAACAATTAAAAGAACATAGTGATTAGGGGCAAGAATCAACATCTGCAACTGTTTAGTGTATTGCATGACGTCTGGTTGTAAACGAAGACTGGAGCTTTGAATCTTCAGCAAAGGTTGAGAAGTTTCTTCTTCATTGGTTGTGTTGGAAGGATCAACATTACTAGTAGGAGCTGCCATTGTTAGGGTTTGCAATAATTGTGAGAATACCATTATTTTTGAAGAATTTTGGGGAGAATTTGAACCGATAACCAATCAGATTTTGCCACGAGTTGCATTAGTTATGGGGTCAGTTACAGTAAAAGTCACCACGTCAAAAGAATGATCATCACAACTTCCTAAAAACCATGAACGACTGAATTGTCACATCCACTAAACATTTCATTGATCCTAATGAGATAAGAACTATCACATTGTTTCGAACTGTCACTGTGAAGTTTCGTCATTAAGAGAACACCAGACCTTCACTATGAGGTTAGACTCATTCACTTTTGGGATTGGAAAGCGAAATCATATGCCAGACTTTGCGAAATCTAGGTTTCAAGTCGGTATTACCCAAAATATCTAGGATTTCATTGCAAAAGTGTGCCAATGAAGTTGTAGGAATCAAATGAAAAGAAAATGTGTGAATAGTGACATCAAATTATACTTTATGTAAAAGCATTTGGATCCTAGGAAAAGATCGCTTCATTCTACATCAAGAGAGATGGTGAACTTCTTGCATGGTATCCCACAAAGTACAATCGAATACTCCCGACTGAGTATCGAAGGGCCTTTTTTTGCACAGGTTTGAAGGTAGGCTCAATTTTGCTCAATACCACAACTTAACATAAGTGTGAGTTGATTGAAAAAAATTACTTATATGACTAGTGTAGTAAAGAACAAGTGTGAAGCTGCGGGAATATTTTGAAGTGATGAGAATTCAAAAAGATATTCAAACGGAAATCATATTCCAGAAAAAAAAGATCTGGAACTTGTTGGGTAAAAATGTTTTGGTAGCATAGCATTTTGTGAAGATCACGCAAAACAAAAGAAATATGAATTTGAATATCCAAATGTGGTACTGAAACAAATGTTTCATTATAATCTTGAACAAGATGTTCACAGTCAATTCCTTAGAAGTTGGGATTGTTGGGTTTCACCATCATCATAGAAAAATGAACCAGGATCATAAACACAGACTTGTGCAATATCTACATTTTGGTTGGTTTCTCCCATAGATGTCTAGGATATTCAGTGATGTGTATGACCATTAAGAAAAAGTTTCGGTGTAAAAATATTGGTTAAGGAAACTCATTGTACCTCTGCAAAGATTATAGACGTAGCAGACATCTGTTTACTCAAAAAGAGAAGAGAATGGTAGCTCTTCGACTAATGTGAATATAGCCTGATTAGGAAGGAACACTCGTAGTGAGAGATTCGTTAAGGCTTTGAACACTTAAAGTCTATGTGGCTTATGGTCAACATACAACATCACGCTTCTAGGTGTAACAGCCCGAAATCCAGGTATCCTTCTTTTTAGCCCTTCATCTTTGAATTGTTTCCATTTAGTGTTTTGCATGTTGGGCGAGTACGCTGGGCGTACAAGGAGTACGCTATGCGTACTCGCGCGCTTCATTTGAACGCGTTCAGCCTCGGGTACGCTCGGCGTACCCAAGGTTACGCTGGGCGTAACCGGTCCAGACCTAAAAACCCTAATTATTTCGGATGGCTATAAAAGGAATGTGTGGCTCGACTCCTCAGCCACCATCCCTCAGAAAGAAACCCTAAAGAGAGTGTTCCTTCGTTCTTATGCCATATTTGAGTATTCTAAGCTTGGTGGTGCCATTTCAAGGTGGCAAAGGAGAAGAAGAGTTCATTGGGAAGGCTAGAAGTGGTGTTCAAGTGTGGATCCAAGCTTTGCAAAGGTTGAAGCTTCATTCTAAGGTAAAAAGTTCGGATCTTGACATATAGTTCTTGTGATATGCTTTAAGTACCATTTTCTAGGGTTTTAGTCCCAAAGGTGGAGACTTTTTGAGCAAATGGTCTCCATAAGCTTAGATCCACCATATTTCTCGTCTATTTGAGTTGTAGACTCATAAAAATGTAATCTTGGATGTGAATGTTTCACCATGCATGAGATCTAGATCCATGAGTTGGAATAGAATGATGTTAAGGAGAGTAGGAGCCTTTACAGCCATGCCAAGGCTTAAAGGTTTCGACTTTATGGGTAAATAGGCATAAATAAAGCCGAATCTAGAAGTTGGAGTAATGGCTTAACCGATTAAGACCAGAAATGATGAATGTTTAAGTCTGATGGTTACACTGGGCATAACTCCCAGTACGGGTGGAGACCCTGATCCATGGGTTGGTGATGTACGCCCCGCGTACTCAAAAGGTTGACTTTTGTTGACTTTGAGGGTTTTGGTCAACATGAAGACTTTGAGTCAAGGAAGGGTAAAATGGTCTTTTACCCTCGGAGGAATGATGATTAGGCGATGTAGAGTCTAGTTGTGGAACTCTTTAATAATTAAAATGATATTTATTATGGTCTTTTACCCTCGGGTAAAGTCTAGTTGTGGAAGTCTTTAATAATTAAAATGATATTTATTATGATTAGGCGAAGTAGAGTCGTCGTTGGGATTTGGATATAGCAAGTACACGAGATTCTAGACTTTCCACGAGGTGAGTTTTATCACTATACTGTACTCGAAAGAGTTTTTATTGTGTGACCGGAAGGTCGGATATGTTAGGAGTTATATGCATTGTATATGATAAGTTAATCGTTTATATGTGCTATGTATGGTATGCTTGATATGGGCCGGAAGGCATTATGTTATGGGCCGGAAGGCGTATATGTTATGGGCCGGAAGGCGTTGTGATGTGGACCGTAAGGTTAACGCAGGTAGGATCGGAAGGTTTACCGAGTCGGGACGGAAGTCCCCTGAGACACATGGACCGGAAGGTCAGGGCCTGGAAAGGCGTATGTGCATAAGTAGTATTTTGGGGGAACTCACTAAGCATTTATGCTTACATTTGTTGTGTTATGTGTTTCAGGTACTAGCGAGGACCGTGGGAAGGCACCGGTGTGATTGTACACACTGACGTAGGAATTGTTTT